GGAAAGAACGCACGTTCTCCCGCCCCCTCCAGTTCCATTTTCTCACGGTCAGCCCCTTTCAGGCACTCATCTCTTCCAATCTCTTCGAATCATTTCAGCATGCTCGAAGGAAAGAGCCAAAAAAGGAACGTGGTGAGCTGCTTTGACACAGCCAGGGGTCATTTCGTAGAAAAAGAGGTGCAGGAGCTCATTAACGTAACTCATTAGCATAACTTATTTGCGTATGCCACACCCTCTGACATCACCGGAAGTGTGTCAGAAGGCAACACCCACCGCTCAGGCTCCACTGGACTGTTTTGGATTGCTAGCTATTGGGGGGGGGGAACGTGCAGATCTGTCCTCGCAGAGGAGGGAGAGCTTGTACCTGAATAAAACTTGGTCTTAAAGGTGCCACTGGACTGTTTTGGACTGGGGGGCTGGGGGGGGGGCTCTGCAACTTACCTGGCTGCTTCTTGCTCTGACTGAGGGCTGCTGGGAGCAGTGGGTGGGGCTTGTTGCATGTGCCCGCCCTCTGGGCTCTTTACTGCCGGAGCTCCGCTCCTGTGCGCTCCTGCAGGAAATGACCCCTGACAGCCATGATGACCACATCTCTAAGAGCTCTGCAGCAGAGTTGCTGCAGAGCACGTATGGAAGGGAAAAGGTGGTGGTGGTGGGAAATACAGAGGGAAATGTGCAGAAAAACTGCTACATGCGAGAGTGCTGAATAAAACAATGCAGAAAATCCTCACCATGTGGAAGGAGCTTCCTCAGGAAACTTTATTCATCAGGGGTTTTTTAACACTTCTAGTGGTAATAGTAATTTATTCCCCATAGCCTTTCTGTCTGCTTTTCCTGCCTCTTAACAGTTTGTATTACTTGCTAATGCATCTAGATTGACTTTTCAATATTTTCAGCAGTCAGACCTTCAAGTCCCTTCTTGGCTTTTCTTACTGTAGCTGGAATGTGCTTTAACTTCCCCCAAAGAGGGACCTGAGATGAACAAAACAGCCACGAAAAGTGGGGGTGGGAGGAATGCCTTCCGCACAAGGTGTGCACACGTGTGTGTACGTGACTGGAAGCACAACTCACACTACAATACACACATCCCAATATGCAGTTGAGAAAAATACAGTAACCCTTTGGCATTTGCTCCACATTTTCTCAACTGGGAGGAAAAAGTGCAGCTCAAAATCACATCCAAATACCCCGGGGAAACGCTGTACTGACTGCAGAGTCGCCCCTGAGTGGCCATAAAACAGCCATAAGTCTATGCAGAAGGTAGAACTAAATCCGGCGATCAAAGAAATCAAAAGCGGCAGAGTGTGGTAAAAAAGGTAAAGGTTCCCTTGCTCGAAAGCCGGTCGAGTCCGACTCTAGGGTTGCGGTGCTCATCTCCGTTTCCAAGCCGAAGAGCCAGCGCTGTCCGAAGACGTTTCCGTGGTCATGTGGCCGGCATGACTAAACACCGAGGCGCACGGAACGCTGTTACCTTCCCACCGAAGTGGTCCCTATTTATCTACTTGCAATTTCTTGCTTTCGAACTGCTAGGTTGGCAGGAGATGGAGTGTGGACACCACCATAAATCCCAATAATCAAAGGGAGTGAAAGCAGCATGCAATGCAGAGGGGGATTTCTGTTCCAACATGGGTTTTGGAAAACAACGGAGGGAAAAGCCAATGCAGAATCAGCCAAAGTCCCCCACAGTCTTCTTAAAGACTGTGCCAGTTTGGTGTAGTGGTTAAGTGCGCAGACTCTAATCTGGGAGAACCGGGTTTGATTCCCCACTCCTCCACTTGCACCTGGCTGGATGACCTTGGGCAAGCCGTAGTTCTGATAAGAGGTGTTCTTGAAAAAAAGAGCAGTTTCTGTCAGAGCTCTCTTAGCCCCACCTACCTCACAGGGTGTCTGTTGTGGGGAGGGGGAGGGAAAGGAATTTGTCAGTCTCCCTTGGGTAGTGAAGGGTGGGGTATAAATCCAATCTCCTCCTCCTCCTCCTCCTCTTCTTCTTCTTCTTCGCTTCCCCCCTGCATATTCTGAAAACAACACACACACACACACACACACACACACACACAAAGACATCCTCAAATTTTAAATTAAAATCCCAGTGTAAAACAAATCCTATTTAAAGTATAAGCAATTGAAATTTTCTTTATCTGGTTTGGGTCAGGACCTCCGTTCAAACAGCAGTTCACCATAGCTATTCCCGAGCACATCTGTGCCATTTATTTTCTCCAGTATTTCAAAGCTGAGGGCACTGTTCACTGAGTAGGTGATAAAACGAAAGACACTTGCTCCTCAGCTGCTTCTGGGCTCTTCAGTCTTCTGGTGCTGATTTGATTGGTTGCTTGACAGCCAACCAGGAAAGAGCTTTTTCAGGCAGGTAGCAGGTCCACCCTAGAGAGGTCATAAGTTCTGGAAAGTGAGATGGCAGGAAGCTGGCAAATGTAATACATAGGGTTTTTTTTGAGTCTTGTATTTAAAAAGGCTGTATGGATGTTATTGTTGTGAAGATAATAAGTGTTATTGATTAATGCCTCACTGCAAAGAACTGATTCATGGAAGTTTCTTCTCTCCCCACCCCCCCATCTTTCTCTTTCCACCATGTTACTTAGCGGATGACTGGCAATGAGTCCTTTGCGTTGCCATACTGGAATTTTTCGACAGGGAGAAATGAATGTGATGTGTGTACTGATCGACTCCTTGGGGCATCAAGACCAGATGATCCAAATTTAATCAGCCAGAATTCAAGATTTTCACGTTGGGAAATAATATGCAATAGGTATCAAAATGGCGGAGGACTGAGACCTTGGGCATAGTTTTGTGTTTCTCAACTACATTTTCCCAGCACGGTCAACTTGTTAAAAAAAATTTAATTTATTAATTATCTGCCTTTTCACTGAATCTCAGGAAGGTGGACAATAAATGAATACTCTAATCATTTTTTTCATAGTTCAATACATGTGTATCTTACTGATACAGATCTGAGGTACTGAAGAACGAATACTTCTAACATTTTTAGTAGAACCCATCCCCTCCCTTATAACATAGCTTCCAGAACTCTGTGGGAAGAGATAAGAACATAAGAGAAGCCATGTTGGATCAAGCCAATGGCCCATCCATTTCAACACTCTGTGTCACACAGTGGCCAAAACCCAGGTGCCATCAGGAGGTCCACCAGCAGGGCCAGAACTCCAGAAGCCCTCCCACTGTGGCCTCCCAAGCACCAAGAAGACAAATCATCACTGCCCCAGACATAATAAGAACATAAGAGAAGCCATATTGGATCAGGCAAATGGCCCATCCAGTTCAACGCTCTGTGTCACACAGTGGCCAAAACCCAGGTGCCATCAGGAGGTCCACCAGCAGGGCCAGATCCTCCATAAAACCCATTCATTTTGTCTCCTCTCTTCTTCCCTCCATTCTTTGGTGCAATTTGAACTTCTTATGGGCAAATTAAGCAACATATTCCTTCCCGAAGTCCTAGCAAGCAATTTATGTACGCATCTTTGATTAAAATTAGTTCCCCATAACTAATTACTGGAAGCATTTCCCCCCGTTGATCTGATTCTACCAAGTAAAACGTGTGACCCACCTTGTTTCTCTTGATAAATACTGACAAAGCAGAAAACTGAGTCTAATTGCTCCATGTCGCTCTATTTTTAACGTAAGTCTGGATGATTATAACCGTCTGGTGACACTGTGTAATGGATCCAGAGAAGGCCCCCTGAGGAGGAACCCATTCAGCAATAGCGGTGATCGGCTGCCGACCACAGAAGATGTTCGGAACTGTCTCTTGCTTCATGACTTTGATAAACCTCCTTTCTTCCGGAATTCTAGTTTTAGCTTCAGGTTAGTTCTTTGATTCCCATTGGTGGTTTTCCTTCACAGTAGCATTTCTTTGAGAGAAGCAGAGCCCTAGATTGCAACACTTTGTTTATTCTCTTCTTCAGGAATGCTTTGGAAGGGTTTGATAAACCAGATGGAACTTTGGATGCGCCAGTAGTGAGTCTCCACAACTTGGTTCATGGTGTTTTGAATGGTACTAGTGCATTTCCTCATGCTGCAGCGAATGATCCGATCTTTGTGGTATGTTGTCTTCTTCTTTTGGCTTCCTTGAATGGCGTGTAACCAAATATGCCCATAAGGGAACTTTTCTTAATAGAAGGAATGCTCTGATTAGAGTTTCCAACACTGCCTTGACAAATGGAGATATGGGGGGGGGGGCAGTGCCTGGGAACAGGCAGAATTTTGGGAAGATGTGATGTCATTTCCATGTCGCGCTCCAGACTGTGTCCAGGCCCGTAGCTACTGCAGGGCCCATAGGGCCCGTCCCCCTGTGGATTTTGCGGGGCCCTCCCCCTGGGTGGGGTGGGCTTACCTACCAGCAGGAGTCCACTCAGGAGGGGCAGCAGGAGCCACAGCCCCCCCGCCAAGCCCCCCATTCATGCTGCCTTTGCTGAGGCGGAAGAAGTCGAGTGCGGAGGGAGGTCCAGGCAGCTATGGGGGCAACAGCGGGGGCCAGGCAGAGGTGCCAGAGTTGGACGGAGCCCAGTCCTGCCCCTTTGGAAGGGAGTGGAAGAGGACGGGGCCAAGGCAGCTAATGAGAAAAGGCCCCGGGTGCTGACCTGGCTGTTTCCGGGTAGAAGAGCCCCGGAACATCGCCGGAGCGGCAGAAAGATGGAGAGGAGAAAATCAGTCCGACTGCAGCAGCTTCTTGTTTCTCGTGCTACTCCGTAGACTCCCCCCCCCCAAGTCCCAGCCGTGGGGTCGCGATGGGTGCCTTCCCCCCTCCATTTGGATGGGACCCCCTTGTGCCCAAGAAGGCCCCCTGGAAACACCCCCAGCAGGACGACAAGGGGACAGACAGAAAGAGGAGCGGAGCCTGAGTCCCTACCGGTGTTCCCTCTAAGCTGGGTTAGTGTGAGCTAGCTCACAGTGTTTTTTTTTAGCTTCCGGCTCACAGATTTTCGTCTTAGCTCAGGAGGAATGGCTCCAGAGCAAACTAATTTACGCAGCAGCCAAATTGCTCGCTCACAGCTTTAATGCAAGTATTATTATTTATTGTATTTATTATTTAGTTATTATTTAGAAGTATGAGCATGGCATGGCAGGCCCCCCCGAGAAAAACATTGGCCCCCTGAGCAAAATGTTGTTAGCTACGGGGCTGACTGCGTCCCTAGGCTCTGTAATCTTTGTTATACATGCTAGGGGCAATTCCTACGGCATCGCTACGTGGAGGCCATTTTTCCCCTTCCACTTATCCATTCCCCAAGAGTGGGGGGTTGAGTCTGGGGGCTGGATATTTCCTGCCTCGGGCTGGTAAACGGGAAGTGTAGCTCTGTAGCTCCCGCACAAAGAATAGAAAATAAGTCTTCAGTACTTTACAGCAAGTAGGAAGACTATTTTGAAATGTTAGCCAGAAACTCGTATTTTAATGCAGACCCAAACCAATATTCATCCCAGGGTCTGCAGCCCGCTGGACATATTTCTTCTTCTCTCAGTACCTTTTAAAGGCAATACTTTGCAGATGTCTGAGACATAAGTTTGCTTTAAAACAAAAAGAACTGGAGATTTTCAGCATTTCCCTCAAGACGCTAAAATATAGCTTAGATGAATCAGTTCTGTTACGGTAGCCTCTGGACTGTACTATAGCTGCCCACCCCCATATTTATTCCATGGCTGCTAGAATGGCTGAAAAGGACTATGTGAATGAGTTTCCTCTTCTGTCACTCCCAGAGCTCCCCTTCCTGCTGTTTTAGGGCGTAGAGTTGTACATGGGCTCCCTCTGGTGGTGAAATTAAAACTTGATCGAACATGTAGAAAAATGTAATGTCTTCGTCTTATCTGAATTTTGTAGCATAATGCCCAAGGGAGGACTGCCACCACCAAGATGGGCTGTAAATAACTGCTTGATAGCAGGTCTTCTAAAGGAGGAGGAAGAGGAGGAGAAATAATCTCATTTTCTGGGGTCTAGAGAACGGCTTGAACACAGAAGATGCTGTTTGTCATTCAAACTAGTTTGGCCAGTGGCTGAAAGGGAGACCTCTGGGATCCCCAAATAAAATGCTGTAAGCTTCAATGAAATATGATAAAGAATAGGTAAAGGTAAAGGTTTCCCTTGCTCGAAAGCCAGTCGAATCTGACTCTAGGGATGCGGTGCTCATCTCCGTTTCCAAGCCAAAGAGCCAGCGCTGTCCGAAGATGCTTCCGTGGTCATGTGGCCGGCATGAATAGATGCTGAGGCACACGGAATGCTGTTACCTTCCCACCAAAGTGGTACCTATTTATATACTTGCAATTTCTTGCTTTCAAACTGCTAGGTTGGCAGGAGCTGGGGCCAGAGACGGGAGCTCACTCCCGTCATGCGGCACTCGGGTCTCAAACTGCTGAACTACCAACCTTTCAGTCTGCAGTTCAGCGTCTTAACCACTTGAGCCACCGCAGCCCCCTATGATAATTGAAAGTATCTCTCAAAATTGGATGTAAAGAGGGAACACAGATATAATCCTGTCTACGTAATTCTAAATCATGATGCCAAATGTGTTAAATGGGCAGGTAAATCCCCCCCCCCGGATGGAGGAACATTGGAGTGTATAAATGGCACGAGGGAAATGTGGGTTGCAAGACTGTTTTAACAAGCTAGTCAATTCTGCCATCATATTTGCCTGGACAGAGTAATATGCATTTAAGATTTATGTGTGGATTGAATTTCCAGCTGCTTCATTCCTTTACTGATGCTATTTTTGATGAGTGGATGAAACGGTTTCACCCCTCTGACAGCGCATGGCCTCAGGAGCTAGCGCCGATTGGCCACAACAGGATGTACAACATGGTTCCTTTCTTCCCCCCTGTGACCAACCAAGAACTCTTCCAAACTGCAGAACAACTCGGCTACAGCTACGCCGTTGAACTGCCAGGTAACATAGACAGGAGACTGAATTGTGGTGCAGTTTACGTTTATCAATATACTGTAGTATTTGCTAGCCGCTACATCGTCCTTTGCGACACTGCAACCAAGGAAATGAGGGCCACAGTCCTTTACATTGTAGGACCATAGCCCATGACAAAAGTATTATCATAATTTATTATTGAGCCGATAGGAGTAGAGTTGTGATGAACAGAGTCAGTTGGGAAAACAGTGGAGAGGAACGGACAAATGCAAAAAGAGGCAGTTGAAAAAAAGCCGAAATGCAGTTTTTAAAGGCAGTTACACGGGGAAGCTGTGGTGGCTCAAGTGGTTAAGACGCTGAAGTGCAGGCTGTGGAAGGTCGGTAGTTCAGCAGTTTGAGACCCGAGTGTGCCACATGACGGAGTGAGCTCCCGTCTCTAGTTCCAGCTCCTGCCAACCTAGCAGTTCGAAAGCAAGAAATTGCAAGTAGATAAATAGGTACCACTTCAGTGGGAAGGTAACAGCGTTCCGTGCACCTTGGTGTTTAGTCATGCCGGCCACATGACCACGGAAACGTCTTCGGACAGCGCTGGCTCTTCGGCTTTGAAATGGAGATGAGCACCGCAACCCTAGAGTCGGATTCGACTGGCTTTCGAGCAAGGGAACCTTTACCCTTACCTTTTTACACGGGGAAGAGGAAGAGAGGTGGATAGTAACTGGTGTAGTGGTTAAAGGTTTTTATTATTCGCCTGGCAGAAATCTGTTAGTATGTAGGTAAGTGGGTATCTTCAAAGAAGCTAATTCTTAGAAACTTCCTAATAATGTTTGTATAAAGCCTGCCTGGGTGAAATGTTTGGCTAGTATCAAGGAGCTGCTGATTTCATTTTGTAGAATCGTAGAATCACAGAGTTGGAAGGGGCCATCTAGTCCAACCCCTCTGACCAATGCAGGATCAGCCTAGAGCAACTCTGACAAGCGTTAGTTCGGCTGCGGCTTAAAGAAGAAGAAGAAGAAGAAGAAGAGATTAGATTTATACCCCACCCTTCACTACCCAAAGGTGTCTCAGAGTGGCTTACAAACTCCTTTCCCTTCCCCTCCCCACAACAGACACCCTGTGAGGTAGATGGGGCTGAGAGAGCTCTTGACAGAAACTGCTGTTTTACAAGAACAGCTCTTATCAGAACTACGGCTTATCCAAGGTCATCCAGCCAGGTGCAAGTGGAGGAGTGGGGAATCAAACCCGGTTCTCCCAGATTAGAGGGGGAGTGGGAGGGAAAGGAGTTTGTAAGCCGCTCTGAGACACCTTTGGGTAGTGAA